TCTCTCTCTCTCTCTCTCTCTCCAGCTGAAACCATGTTGGATTGGAAGATGCAGTAGAAATCTAGAACCCACCTCTATATTAGCAGAAGATCTTTCTCTCTCCCTGTCTAGCTGAAATCATGTTGGGCAGGAAGATACAGTAGAATTCTGAACCCTCCTCTATATTAGCAGAAGATATCTCTCGCTCGATCTCTCCTGCGAAATCTAGAACCCATCCTTGCGAAGATGAAAGGGACACCAGCTTTTGTTTCTTGTAAGCTTGTAACAAAGTAGAGAAAGAGAGTCGCACATGCCGTTTACACGGTAGCTAGTTAGGCCAAGTCCTTACCTGATGTGAAGCGGCGTGGCAGGTCACGTGGGCTACGGGTGTAACACCAATACGACAAAGAGGGGCAGGTCGTCGTCCCTGTTCAGGTGATGTGGCCGTGTGCATGTCGCTGTGATGGCCGTCTCATGGAAGACCGCCCTCACTTGACCTGCAACCCGGTTTGGCAAGCATGCGGTCTCGCATCCTCCCCTCCACCTTTGATCCCATGACGTGCAAAAGCTCCTGATTCATGGCTGGGTTAAATGCAGATGTTTATGTAGTGAGCATACACCACACTTACTACAGTATCAAGACTATATCAATAGAAGGATCGCCATGTGATCTAGAGATTCAAGAAAATTTTTCTAAAATTTCATTAAAGAAAACTAACTATAAAATCCATATTACATGCCTTGATTACAAAAGACGTTCATTTAAATCTCAGCCGATTAACTTGCTACCATTAGGAAGTCTTCATTGATATTGGACTGTTCGACAAGTTCTAAATTCATCAATTTTCATTTTATTTATACTTTTTATTTAGATAAGACACTCCATGTCAACTTCGATGTCAGCACATTCTATCTAAATCGTGTTGTTGATCTTGCCATGGCTTCCTCCGGTCTAGCAATCATCTTGTTCGAGCTTTTCTCGCTAATGGCCCTTTGCCACGAAACTTCCTCCTCCAAGCTCGGCAACGGCTTTAGCGTTCGATCGGATCCACCCCCCCCCCTCCCCGCCGCCCCTCCATGATCAGACCGGGTATCTAGTTCGCTGCTCGACGTCTTGCGTGGTGACGATGACTACGAAGGGGGCAGCGAGTACCCGACGAACTCGTCGATGGGTATGCCGCGCGTGCAGCTGAGGGGGTTGATCGACGTCCTCATTATCTTCATCTGGAACCGGTGCTTCCCGTGCCCCCAAATGCGCTCCATCGAACGAGCCCGTCGACCAACCGAAGCAGCCATTGGGCTACGACGTGGCCCTTGAAAAATTACTATTTTCGACCACTTTACAAAATCAGTTTGTTAGCTTAAGCAAATTTGCATCAAAGATATGCAGACCATGAAGAGAACAGTTTGTTAGCTTAAGTACATCGACTTTAAGAGAACATTTCAAACACACTGGAGGATATGCAGACCATGAAACGAAGAGTGCTAATACGGAGTACACTGTTTCTGTTTTTTCACCAAATAAGATTCAGTGTCAAAGGGTCACATGGCAATGTCGATACATTTTGCTTTAGACAGAATAATACCCCACTGAATTAGACGAATGAGAAGCCAGACTTATTTCCATACTAGCAAAATATTTCGGTGCAACTAAGTCTCCATCTAATCGTAAAGTCCTTCCTCCTGCCATATGTCGACCAAAAAATCTATCATCTCCTGAAAATTATTTCAACAAGTTTGACTGTGAGAAAATATTTATACAAAATTAATTTTGAAAGCTAAAAATGGCACAACATAATAATTGTGAGACAACCGAATAAGAAATTACCGATAATGGGATGGGTTGTGAAAAAGGTTGGTTGGTCGAGAGCAAATCCTCGTAGGTTGCACACCAGCTACAGAAAATAAAATCTAGATTACAAACACGGGAAGTAGAATCCATAAATTACCCAAACCCACAAAAGTTTCTCCATATGGACCTTGTTAACACAACTTGGATTTATGATCTACAGAGCTAAATATATGATACTCTCCATGCTTGTGCATGATATGCATAAAGGTGTGCAGCAGAGGCACTTGCTACAGGGTTCTTGGAATCATTAGTTGACAAGGTCATTTACAGTCTATGAGATTTCTGATCCAAGAAAGTATAGGAACATTAAAAGAGTATCATCTACAAATGGTATACTATGTTATCCTGACACAACTTGCATAAAGGAGGTTTTCTCTGACCTTATTGTTGGTTCTCTTGGAGCTCTATGGGGCCTTTTTGACCGATCACCAACCCACTCCCTTCTCGTCTGATTCCAGGCTATAGCACCTAAAGAGCATAGTGGAAATTATCTAAGTGATACAAAGAGAAGAATTTGTAGTTTGAAGAAACAAATACCATAAACAACATTAGAAGAATTTGGATTTTGAAGCAACAATTACCGTCAACAACAAAAAGTGGTTTTGGTTGATATCCAGATAACATCTTGTATAGGTGAACGGTGGATAGATATATGAGATGTTGGAAAACAGAGTTTAATATGCATATATAACTTCAGAAAAAACAATTCAACCAAAAATTTAGATTTCATACTGAAATTTTCTGCAACCATTTTTTTTCATAGCTGATTCATGGTGTAACCAATGCTTATGGCTGTTTGGATTCAACTCTAGCAACATATTGTCAATTTCAATTACTTTATGTTCACAACCACCGTATAAAATCTAGAAGTCTTCTTGGCTAGAAAAAGGAGCTTATCAACATTAACAAAGATGTAGTAGCTCCATTTGGGATTTGTATTCCATTAATCTCTTCATGATCTAATTGTTTGATCTCTAAGGACCCAAGCAGGTCATAAAAGATAATTGCACTTTCTTTAGCTAGCAAGCAACATCAGTCCTCATTCTTATCTGACTGGCATCTTTAATGGCTACATGTAACCAAAAGGAAACATTTTTCTTCCTCAAAAAGACTGAAATAATGCCCTTCAAAATAATTTCATTTCTACTGAAATAACCTGAACTACACATTTCAAGCATTATTTTTTAACAACTATTTTTGAAATATATATCAGGAAATTTTAGGTTAAATAAGCACAAGCCCAGCTGCATGTTAAAACTTCACACAAAACATATTTTGTCACTACAACCTTAGTCTATACACAAAACATATTGATATCCTTAGGAAGTTTAAGGATCTGAATGTTTCTAGAATTTATAATATGCCCAAACAAACTCTAATGGTCTGTTGACTTGTATCCTTGGGCTACACGCAAGCAAGCTCTTCCTAGATTATAGTGGTTGTTACTTCTCCTTATTAGAGATACTATCAACACAATTGCTAGAATGCCAGTAGCTAAATTCAGGGTTGAAGAGACAATCCTACTAAGGAAAACTACTTGAGAAAAGACATACTCAACGAACATGAAGAATATATGACTCAAAAGCAGGGAACAAGCATGGCTACCTTAACATGCTAAGTCAAAAAATTAAGAGACTGAAGGCATAATGTGCTAACACTTCTAAGAAATATAAACATAGCAGACATAGTTAAAAAATAACTCTATTCCTACAGCAATATAGAAGCTTGAAAAGATTAATATCCTATTGCAAAGACGATTGTCGATCTCTATCAGAGGTCTCTCTTCTAATTATTTTAGTTCTACTATTCAAAGTCCATATGCAAGAGGCTAACAACGTCCTTTCCACAATTAAAGACTACGAGAAACAAGAAGCTGTCTTCGGGTTATGGTCAATAGCAACCCATACATAGATTCGAAGCTTTAACAATGAATACAAGTCAACTACTTCACATCTTAGGTAGGGTATTTTTCTGTAAAATAGTAATAGCTATGTAGTGCAAAACCAAAGATGAGCCTTCAAAATGTAGCATGGGTATCAACTGTTTAAAGCCCCTATAATTTGGGTCACTGTCGAACTATAGTTATAAATTAACTCGCCCAATCAGAAGGCCAAACTTTATAATCGTAAAAAATAAGCAAGGTCCACTGTCTTTACCAGGACAAACTAGGAGAAAACAATGCAAAGAATATAAAAGAACCATTAGAGTAATTTTTAACATCAAGTGAAAATATATGCATTGGAAGCCAGGTGCAATATTATGTGAGAAGCAATCAAATATTTCATTAAATCTGTAAAGTGACCAATAGAAGGCATAGTGAGACAGATAGACCTTGGTTGATAAATGGAATATTATTGGCGTTTTGCTCCGTTAACTTGGCATCATCATTGATAATAGTGGGGCATGAAGAATTGTTCATTGCTAGGGAATGAGAATTGCTGACATCGTTTTCCATTGCTATAAGTTCAGGACTTGATGACCATTGTCTTTTCTTTTGGCTTGATAACTGGCCTATGTTCCACTTCTTGGGTGGACCCAATATTCTATCGGTAGCTGATTGAGATTTAGCTAGCCCTCCAGCACAACAACTGCTCTGTACGAAGACAGAAAAATAAGAGACATTCCTCGTGGCCAAACTGCTGTAACCAGTAACTCATATATTACCTACATTGCACCATTAGATGAGAGGCAGAACTCACTGCCTAAAGAAAAAAGAAGTATGACAACAATCAAAGCACCACCTTCATGACTCATTATCCTTAAGCAAATCTGATACCCACCCCATATATTCTAAGACAAAGTTAATTCAACAAGTTTATCCATTCAGTACGAATGGATGAGCATGAGCATCTGAACGGCAATATGAAGGATTCACACTTCTTGTACAATAAAGACTCAGAAAATTCTTCTCCCTGTTCCTTTATGTTCTGCAAAAAACAATTACACTGTGAGAACAGTAGAAAAGATAATTGACATAATCTTAATGAATACAGTAACCGCCAAGTAAGAAACACAAAATCTTCAATAAAGGAAAAGATGACATGAGTCATTCAGGAACAAAAAACTCATACTCCTGTTTTTGGTAGTTTTCATTTAACAGAAACTTATATCAAGAACTGGATCACAAGTAAAAAAGGTATCCCATAGTACCTTTGGATTTAAAGGAAAAAAAAAAGTTATTCTATTTTTTTAAGAATGAACTTAAATAAGTTAATTGTTGCAAAAGACAATGGACAACAAATACGTGCAAACATAAAAATATAACATAATAATGATTCAGAACATTAAAGGTTGATAAATAGGAAAACAACTGTTCGAACAAAATATACTTTAAGTGAGCCATATACAAGAGAAAAGAATGAATTATTTCTTTAAATCAAACTTTAAGTTTCTTAAGCTATTCAACATCACAGGATCATCATGTTGAACCAGTGATACACCAGAAGCTTTAACCGTTTCACATAATAAGCAATAATAACAAGTTGTAAATCTCAACTTTTTGGGGTAGGCTGAAAACGCTCAACAGTTTCAAGATTATAAAATATTGTAACCAGTGAAAAGCTATAAGTTACTAAAAAGTAAGTATAATATCCAAGATAAAAGATGGCATGTTGATGTTTCATCCTCAAACATTCCACACAAAGTCAGGTCAGTCTTTTTCATAACTTGCACCACTTCATATTTAAGTCTTCTACCAGCATGATAATACAAACTAAATAATTTCTTCATGAGAACTACACAGAAATCTGTGCTTCCTCACAGATAGTTTTTTAATCACCATGTTCTATAAGCTTATAAGTGCTTCAACAATCTCCCTTTTGTACCCTCAAGGAAATGTTTTCGCACAATACTTTACATTTCTAGTCCTTTCTGAAATAATAATTTAAATAAACATTTTGATCCCTCATGAGACTAATATCTTCCCTTGCAATCTACTCATGCAGGTCACCTCTGATGTCTTCATTACAGGTGAAAGTGACAAATGCTGCGTCAAAATTATTTACACACACCCCATATGTACACTGACCAATACCTACCACAACCTCTAGAACTAAAATTTTATAGCTTCAAGATTTGGTGAAGTATCATTTAATGGTTATCAATTATTGAAGTTTGAATGGACAACTTCCCTATCAGTCTACAACTATACTTACAATGGAGGTTTGATCAAAGAATACCACATGCTGCTCATCAAACTTTCAAAATTTCAAGAATCGAAGGCACTGGATCGATAGTCCAATGTTTAAAGTTTGCCTTTCCACTGGTTGTTGTATCAGTTTAAATTCAACAAACTCTTTATAAACTTTGCAATAGATTCCATAAATCTACTAGAAAAAACTTTTTGTCTTGCTTTGCATCCTTCTCTGAATCTCTCAAGAAGATCCAACAACAAAAAGATCAGGATATCTGATCGTCCCCGTGCCCACAATCCATAACCCTAATTGGCCCACGCTACGAACTATTTCTTTCGGCAACGACATCGGCCAATATTTACTTCAAAATCCCACACAGAGCTACGCCATCTCGAGTCAAGGATCGATATCATATGAAGCTCCACGAAGGATTCGTCCAACTAGATCAAATCAGCCCGACGTCGAGATCACCGAAACATGCCCTAACGGTTAATTCAATGGGAAAAGGCCAAAAGATGGCGTCCAATCAGGAGAACAAAAAATCCATCAGTTCTGCAACGGAAACATGGAGACAAACTAAGAAAAAAAGCCAATCGATCATTCGATTCACTCAGTTGAAACAAGAACCGTATATTTTGAGTGGATCAACCAAGGAGACTGGAAATCCGAGACTAATCGCAGAGATAATTCGAAGTAGAAAAAGGGAAAGGGAAGGGATCGAACTACCTTGTTTTGGAGCCTTTTGCTTCCCCCTCACTCCGTCGGATTCGCCGAGTGACGCAGAAAGACCGGCTTTGGGGTGAAAGGGAATTTAAAGGCGCCTCCCTGGTACGAAGAGCGAGAGCGCCGCTTCGTGTGTCGCGAGTTATTTAACGACTTGGGTGCAGAGGGAGAGGAAGGGGAAGGGCGTTGATATCGAATCATGTAAGCTCCAACTTGTTGTACTAATTTTAATTGATTCATCTTTAATCAGATTACATTATGTATTTTGATACACTTGATCTATGTATCACTTTATACATTAATGGTATGCTGCAATTTTAACCCAATAATGGATTTAATTAATAGCTTGGTTATTTAAAAATAGACGTCAAAATTCTTAAATCCACAGAGTTTTCACTGCTTAAATCATAGTTACAAGAATTCTTAATTTGCTTATCATAATTAGAAATACTAGTGTTCGTTATATTCACCTCATCGGATTGAATGTGTGATTTTATAGGATTATTCTGATGATTTGTCATAGTAAAAAAATACTTGTTAGAACATATTAAACAAATAAATAATTTACTTGTGATGAAAATATTGAAATGAATGTTTGCATTTTTATTTATAATTAATTAGACGTTTATTAATTGAAGTACCATATCAAACAACAATTACCCACTCCACAGGAGTTGGAAGCTGATGAACTTGTGCTGATAGAGAATCTGGATTGATAATGTGATTATAGTACATGAGTATGACTTGACCTGAAAACAAAGCAAGAAGCATGACTGACTTCCACACCAAGAAGAAGTGCAACAACTAGGATTCAAATGCACCTATAGCTTATCCATTACTGCAATTCATCGAGTTATGATGCTGCTGCTACAGCAGAGACCATGCTGTCGATCCCACAGATGTTATGACCCCTGCAGAGCCGGTAATAACCTTGTTCTCCCCACTGCTTTCCCCAGGAGTTCTTTATGATCCAGTAGGGCCTGTAGCCAAGCCTCAGAATGGAGTAGCCTCTGGCTCCATAACCAACCAGTAGCACCCCATGGTTTATCCACCTCCTGGGGCAGATCAGTGGGCAGGACACCCCTCGAACGTACGTCTGCATGAATGCCGCGTTCAATCCCACTGCAATACCAAGCAATCACGACAGTCATGGAGAGTTCATATGATCATGGTGTGGGAGACTCAGAGGGCTTCTTCTATTCGAGAAAATGACCTGCAAGAGGACCGCGGTGGACAAGGTTGGCAATGATCTGCTCTTCGTCGAGAGGGATGACGGTGAAGTTGGTCACGCTGACGGCGATCTTGTTCTTGTCGAACTTGCACTCGCCTTGCTTTCCGGTGTAAGGGTAAGATTTCTCCTCCTCCAAGCCGCCTGATTGCATCAGGTAGTTGTAGGCGTTCGTCATTAGTCCGCCGCTGCACCCGTTGTTGCACTCGTCTTTCTCCACGGCATCGCACTTTTGTCGAGCACATAGGAGCAGAAAACGGTCAGCAGTTATAGTCATGGAACGAAGCTGCAAGAAACATCGAGGAAGTTTCGATAGCAACCGTGTGATCGCAGTCGATGAGCTGCTGCTCGCTGAGGCTGACGAGCTTCCCTGTGGCAACATAGTTTGCTCCCTCCACCGTTCCCGTCGTGCTGAATGCCCAGCAAGATCCACAGACGCCCTACAATCACTTACTATTGAGAAGCCCTGCAACGATCGAACAAATAGTTCCCGTATTGTGAACTACCTGCATCTTGACGTCCGTGACGGCGCCCTTGTTTCGCCAATCAAAGCTCGAGGGGAGACCACCGACCTCCATGGCGGCCGCGGTGGGGAACTCCGCGCCACGCCCCGGCCAGCCGGCCTTATCCTGGGCCGACAGCCCCGTGAAGGCCGTCTCAAACTCCTCCTCGGTGAGGTCGGAGAAGGGGGTGACCCCGTGCACCGCGGTGGGGTCCAGCGCCTGGTGCTCCGCGGCTCGAGCGAGGTTCCGAGCGAACACCCCCAGCCGGCGCGCGTACTCCTCGCGGGTGCGGTACTCCTTCCCAAACGTCCGCAGGAACGCCCGGAACCGCCGCTCGGTGCTCCCCAGCCGCCGACTCTGAGTCACCTGGACTATCTCCGGATCGTCGGAACCGTGCAATGCGCCGTCGGAGAAGGTCAAGAGGAAGAGCAACACCGCTAACACTCTCAAACCCATCTTTGGCAAAAGAACGTGAGTTACCCTTCCACCGTTTGTTGATTTGCCCGTATGGATTTTGGTGCGGATACCGCGGCTGTGGGAGAGTAAAAAGGCGAAGGGGTCGCGTGGCGATTCAGAGTGCAACCGAAACGGCAGCGGCATGCAGGGGAAAAGCACGGGAGAATCGAACACCTGGAAGTGCTCAGTAAACGTGGCAACATGGCGAATTCCCTCGTGACAGGTAGCCTCACGGGACCGGTCAAACAATGAACCGTTCTTGTATCTTCACGTTAATTTATCCATGTTTTACGTTCAAATTAGGGGGCAGCATATATGAATTTTCTGTGAATTTTTTATGAGATTTTACTCAATCTCGCCAGGTCCATAAATGAAGATCGAAGAATACTAATGCGACATGAGAGTGCAAAATTAATTGTTGATCAGAAAAATAATGTATGTAAAATGCAAAATTAATGAAAATATATTAGTGATTGGCATTAGCATATATTTGCATTAATTGTTAAATGTTGTTTTCCAAACACCCAAACAACATGAGATGACAAGTCTTGGTTGGTTGGCTAACTACCAAAGGAAGTACCCCGCTCATCACTCGCAATTTGTTCGCCGTTCGCCACCAAAGGAACCGACTGTCGTTCGTCCGAAGATCCATGGCTTGGTTCTCTCCGCCAGCATTGCCCCTCTCAGCCGCCCGATCCATTTCCGCCCCATCCTCACCCCGCCGCCCTCCGCATCCCCGGTAGACCTCCTCCTCCTCCGCCAGCTCTCCACGGCCTCTCGCGCTCCTCGATCTCGCCGCATGATCAAGAAGAAGGCGACGGTGGTGGCCGCGATCGGATCAGGGAGGGTGACTCGCGCGAGCCTCGATCGGCGTCTTCTGCAATTGTTCGCGGAGGATGATTTGTCGAACGGTCGTCGTCGGCTAACGGAGACCCGACGCCGTCGTCACTGCCCGTTTCAGACACGTGCAGCGCACGCCAGTTCGTGACACGCCCGTTATAACGTTATAAATACCTTGAATCGCCGGTTTAGTCCGGCCCATCTCGAACCGTAATTTAGGTCGCCGAACATGACCGTGAATTATATGTAATTATAATTTGATGATTGAGGAGTGAATTATATGTGGTATCTGAATTAATGTTTGTTTTGATAATTGGATCCCTTCCATACGATCCATACAGTTTTTTCTTTAAATATATATGAAATGAGATATCAAATCCTCAATATTTGATGAGTGAATTTGATATATTACCACAACACTAATATTTAAAATGTGAGATCAATATAGTTATTATAATTTAAAAGACACGAATCATGAGGCTAATAAAAAATAATTGACACTAATATTTATAAAAAAGATTCATCTTTAATTATATCGTAGTAATCATCATGTTCTTCAATCCATTTGAAATATTCTTTATAGAACCTGACGATTTTAGATTATGGATTTATTTATTTATGCTAATTTTGAAAAGCTTTTATATGGTCAATGTTCAGTTCTCGTCTCTCACAAAAGCCATCGGTGGAATTTATGCTACCGCATCAGAACAAATCCTTTTATGATTTATGCCTGATACTTATAATTGTCCAAGATTAACGACTGACAATATTATACAAAGATATATAAATTGTTTCTATACTTAAAATAGTGTAATTCCTTGAACGGAATTCTAAGATAACAAATTCATGAACACAACAATACTTCTAATCATTTGGAATTGGAACTAAATTGTCTATTTCCTTTGCTCAATTTGTTCATAGGTTTAGGGTTTTAGATTAATATGGGTCTTTTGGTGTAAGGATAAAAACATGTTTATCATATATGTATGAGATAATAAAAAATTGCATTCAATCAAGATATCATATTATTCTTAAAAATGGAGACAAAGATTTCCCATTAAGCATTATAAATATAAATATAAATCAAGATTTTGAGATGAGAAGGCTAAGGCTGTGTTTGGAAATACATTTTCATTTCTAATATAGTTACAGAGAGAGGTTGAGTGAATGTGCCATTATAAAATACTTCGAATGCTTGATTATATTTTAAGTATGCATTGACGTGAATATTATTTAGTAAAATTATACTTCAAAAGTTCATTACTTTTTTTTCGATAAATTTACCCTTCTAATAATTTTAATATTTTTATTTTTTAAAATAAAAAATATTTTTATTTAAATTAATAAGTAAAAAAGATAAAAAATATGTAATATTGTAAAAACATTCACACGGCATAAATATACAATAAATAAAAAATATTTTTACATATATATAATCTTGTAAAAAATTTTGTATGGCATAAATATATAATAAATAAAAAATTATATAAAAATAAAAAAAATAAAAAATTACTTAATAGAAATTGATAAATTATGTTTGTTTCTTGTAAAATCGTTTTGGTAATCTTGTAATTTAAAATAATTTTATAAGGTACTTCAAAAATTTAAAATATTATATTATTATTTTATAAATGGTGAGATGCCAATGCTCCTCTAAGATAATATCGATATTTGAATATTTTTAATATAGCATGTAATTTAAAAATAATTTATCAAATACTAATTAATATTTAAAATGTGTTTTGGACTAATATAGTACGTTTCAAACGTACCTAAATCATGGTAACTCCAAGACTTTACCAAAATTTCAAACACCAATTACTTCATGTCGCAGCAGTAGCCATTAGAACATCATAATGTTACAATTGGCTATTAAAAAGACTTATAACATTATGACGGTCATGTCAACAATCTCGCCTGCGTTCCACGTGTCTGGTTCTTTGTGGACTGGGGACGGGCGACCAAAGAGATGGCCCGGGTTAAGCCGGACCAAAACGGCGATCGAAGGTCTGTATAACGTTATAACGGTCGTGCCAAGAACCTCGCGTGCGTCGCACGTGCGTGGTTCTTGGTGTTTTAGTTTTCGAGGTGGGCAGTGGCGACCTCCATAAGACGGCGTCGGGTCTCCGTTAACCAAGACGACCGCACAACCTGCACACCTCTCTCGCCTTCGCTTCCACTCTTCTTGATAATAATTGCCGACGACGCCGATCGGGTGCCGCGCCGCTCGCTTTCCGCCATCCCGATCTGATCTCGGCCGCCACGGATCGCCTTCGAAACCCTCGCTCGCGTCGTCGTCGCCTTTTTCTTGATCTTGTGATGAGATCGATGAGCGCCGGTTCGTTTCCTGTCATCGCTGGACGCCGGAGCTGAGATGCGGCCGGATCCGACGGGAGATCCCCCATCGTTCCTGGACGGCCGCTCGATCCCGGAGTTTGAGGCCCCGGGGCCCCTCCTCTTCCTCCCCTTGCTCTTCATCCAGGGGGGAGGAATGGATCTCTCCAAGGTCGGGGAGAAGATAATCAGCTCCGTCCGCTCCGCTAGATCTCTCGGCCTTCTCCCTTCCTCTTCCGATCGGCCGGAGGTGCGATCTTTCTCGGTTCGCCTTTGTTCTTTTTTCTTTTCCTTCTTGAATATTCTTAGTACAAGCTTAGTTCATTATGATACATTGAGGATTTGAGTTGGATTCTTCATTGACCATTCAAGAAAGGGTTCTTCTTTCACAAAGAGTTCTGATTATGGCATAACTATATTCGGCAAAAAGAATAAAAGCAACTCTTTCGTGGGGTGAAATGTGCTTTAATCTGAACTTGGATCTTGAGACTAGCTTCACCATTAGTTATAAGGTAAGCTCTCTTTTCACCCAGCTAGACGTGAATATCAAGAAGACCCTATATCCCCAAGAGGCAGAAGGGCCAGCAGATTGTTCTCCCTCGGAGGCTGTAGTCTTTCTAATCTGAAAAAATTGCTTATGTTGTGATATGCGAAATGTTAGTATATAACACTAACGCTTGAAAGTATTAATTATTGTTCTAACTATATTTATGATCAAGTTTTTGTCTTCATAAATTCCTTGGTCAGTGTTTTTGATTTAATTAATTCTTCTAGTTTATCTGGGTGCTTTAGATGGTCTTAGTCCGAATTGATTTCCTGAAAACAACAAAATGTGGTCCTTAGTTGCACTTGCTGCCAAGCTCAAGGGTTTCTCATAAGAGATTGCTTCGGAATATCCTCATAAAGAAAGAGCACTTGGTTAAATAAAGTGTTCTAGAGCATTTGGTCCTCTTTGCATCCAGTGGCGTAGCATATGTCCTTCGTGCTCTCTTTGGCTTATCTGGGTTACTGCTAGGTGGCGAAATTAGCAGGTTCTTCTACATGACATGGCTTTGTTAGTATGTTATCGTGCTCTGTTTAGAGCTTCTATGGAAGGTATGGGCTATCATATCTCGCTTGGCCTACTAGCACAATAGCATTTTAATTCGGCACTGATGCAGCCCAAAATGATTCTCGTTTATAAGCAGTAGCATACTAGATTTTATATGTTAATTCTAATTGTCATACATTCTCATCGTGGAAATTATTCAGTGGTATAATAAGTAATAACCTCAACACCTCAAATTCCTGATGTAATTGTTGCAGCCTATTTGGGTCTTTAGGATCCTTGCAGGCGATACTAAATCCAAAGGCAAGTACCATGTTTTTCTCACCATTCTTGGTGGTCCTGCTGCCCCTGCTGCTTCGAGGGTAACTGCCATAACACACATTAGATCCCAACATTTCTTGTACATTGTCAGCTGTTCGGCCCGTTACATTTATGCTCTGATAAATTTGTAACCTACGTTCGTAATTTTGTACTGTACCGACGCTTTGAGCTCAGCTTGGTATGGTACGGTATGAGCGTACCGAGCAGTATGCTCTGGCATACCGGTCGGTATATATAATAATAATAATAAATAAATAAATAAAATAAATAATAAAAAAAGGGCGACGTCGCCTCGTTTCTTCTTCCCGCGTGAGGAGAAGAAACCTCGTTTTCTTCTCCCCGCGCGTTTTCTTCTCCCTGCGCGGATAAGGAGAAGTCACCGACGACATCGAGGCCTTGTCACCTTAAATGAGGAGGAGGCGACATCTCGTCTGCGGCGTCCGACGAGGGAGGGCGGCGACGAATCGGGATGGTCGAGGGAGAGCGGCGCCGGATCTCCAGGTTCTCCCTTTTCTTCTTCCTCTTCTTTCTTCCTCGGCTAATATCGCATGGTAGCGGGCGGCGACGGTTGAAATCGACCGTTGCTGACCGATTTCGGGCGGTAACGGGGCGGAAACAACCCCAATCGACGGTACCGCCCGGTACGGGTGGTATCATTCGAAATTAAAATCTTTGTTTGTAACAACTGAGGTAGCCTCTTATTTTAGTAACTCAGCCATGTGCACCACCAAATTGGCTCGCAATGCTTAAACTGAATTACTTGAGGTAGGATATTAGATATTTATGTACCAATTCACATTCTCATATACTCTTGGCGTGAGACTATCAGGGACATGCCGCAAATGCAGATGAGGTTTTTAGATTTTGACAAGTAACACTTGGGCAATACTTGGGAAAAGTGCCATCTCTACATGGGAAATGGCAAGAGCCTTTTAAGGAAAACTGGTGTTATCACTAAAGTCATAAGAGAAAATTATTCATTAAATCTGAGAATTCCAGACCTTAAATTGCCTTTTGGGTTCTTATCCAAGATCATGGTTTCCACAAAGTTACCAGTCCATAAACTCCACTCATGATGTTAGATAAATCCATTGTCAGAAAGCTATTTTCTGATTTGATGTGCAGGGTAAATTTAATGATGAAACCACCCCAAAATATGGAGGGTTGATTGAACTGGTGTGCTATTTTTCTAGTTTAGTGTAGAATAAATATTTTGGTGAAAGAATTGATAGAAAAATTCATTTATTATGCTTGGAAGAGTTGATACAAAAATTCATGTAATATGCTATTTACATCATGTGGTTCATAAATGTTTCAATTGTTGATGGTTCAACAAAGTTTCATGCATGGGATATCTGCAGCACGACCAAATAGGCTCTTATTGATTACGGCTCTGTATTTTTTAGCAACATCAAGTGAGTTTGTAGACTTTAGCTTTTAGGACAGGAAGTAGGTAATTTTCATGACACAATGTTACATAAGAATTATAATTGAGCTTTCGGATGAGCTATGCATTACCAAAACTATTTCTTACATATATTCGTACTGTTCTTTATTCGTGAAAGGGTGCTCGGTAATAGTAATCAATTTCTGTACACGCTGGTCTTCTACGATGTTATTAGACTTTCTTTGAAGAATTAGATATGCAAGGCCTTAAATTGTTTATTCTTTTATTCTTTTTGATCCTGTTCATACTAAGCTTGTAGCATAAAATAGCTGTTTACTATTATGGGCCTTATGTTTTATATGCAAGGCCTAGCATCTTATTATAAAATTGTATAAATGTCCATCTTATCCTTAATCCAATGGTTTGCACCTTGGTATTACAAGGAAATAAGCAGCAATGTGACAGTATGTAAAAGTAAAGACCGTCTCTTGAACTTTGAGCTTTAAGTCTGCATCTTTTTCTGTATTCAGATCTCATTTTATTGTGAACTGCAAATGAGACATTCTAAGATGGAGTGGTGTGAAAGAAGTGCTCAAAAGTCCATATTAGTGCTTAAATTGTCCTTTTTGTTAATACCATTTGGACAATGCCTGAAATCCATATTCATTCACAGATGTAACATATGCACCTCTATAATTGTTACCTCATCTGCAGTTTTAATTCGCCCTAATTTAACTGGAGGAATTACTTGTGAATTGAGACTGAGCAGGAATCACCAATACGTTGAGATGCTTAACTGTTCAAAATTTCTGTACATCAGCTGAGTTTATTATCCTAAATTTCTTTACATTATCTTATTGTAGCAACTTCTGACTACCAGTTGTGCATCTTTTGTAAGTATGACCTGGATGCTGCTTTTTTCCTGTTCTTTGCTATGTTTGGACATTTAAACTCCAATGATAACATATTCTAAAATCTCTTTGAGCGGTTTCATATAAAGCTTTTTTCACCCTATAAAATTTCATGTTTAATTTACCATTTTGCCTAAGCTTCACTGTTGTGGAACTTACATATAATTACAGAGCAGTTGGACCAACTCATTATAAACTTATTGCATAATATTTCCTTGTCTCATTTAGGATGTGATATCTCTTGCATACTGATTTATTGGATGCTTTGTTAGTTGAGGATCCATGCCATAACACAGAGCAGTAGTGCTGTAGTAGATGTTTGTTCCTCTAATGCATGAAGAGCAGATGCATGTTTTGCATTTCATGCTGGCCCTAACCTTTAAATATTTGATATGTAATCAATAAATTGGTTTGGAGTTGCTAAAAATTCATCGAACAAAAAGCTTAACTCACATGATTTTTGTGTGTAACCATGTTTATACAAGTCAAGTCTCATTTCATTCTTTTAATCTCTTCCTGTGTTTGTAGGCAAATTAGTTCCTTTAAACTGTTAAAACTATCTTTTCTGACATCATACTTCTCTTTGTCTGTTTTTTACTCTTCTCTTGGTAGTTCACCTGCTTGATATCTGCTGTCTTGGATATAAACACACTTGTTTAAAGATATTTGATCTGTTATCATTACTATGCAACAGGTTCCTGCTCGTGCAGCAGCAGCAGCTGCTGTTGCTCGTGCTCTTGCTGGCACTCCTCCGCATGAAAAAATTAGCTTTTTATCTAGCTCTGAAGTAGTTTCAATATATGGTAGTAGATCACAAGGTCAAACTATTGATGAGCTTGAGGAAGATTTTTATGAAGAGGTATACTTTTCTGGACCAAGTTCTCATATCATTTTTTTAAAAAATAAAAGGACTGCGGTTCACAATATGAGAATTGTAAATATCAAGATCAAACAAATTTTTATTTATGTTATGCAAGCTTGACATGTATATTTTGATACTTCATGAGCTTAGCTACATCAATTAGGTACCCATCTTGTCATGGCATTGATTTTGGGAGTCGAAAAGGCTGAACTTTTTAGTTCTAGATTGTCAAAGCATCTAAACAACATTTAGGTTATATTAGATAATAATTTTATTAAAAGCAATATCCAATCCACATTTCTAGGAGCATGACCTAAATTCATTTATTATTATATTTATCGGTTTGTATTTACTAGTTTGACCAAGAACTGATAATAGAACCATAGGCTTAATACCACTTGATATTTCATTTATTATTATATTTTCAATGATACCATGCGGTGCATGTTGGCATACCATCCTATCATGTCCTTAGCTTGGATTGCCTAAGGCATGTGACACTCAAACAATAATCCACAGGGGTCAGCCTGAACTTTAACATCGTGTAATCCACAAAGGACCAACACAAAGAAGAAAATGTTAGAAAGGCGAAAGTGCAAGTAATATGTCACCCTTGCACATGAAAGTAGAGATAATGGGGATTGCAAGCAACACTAAGCAACCAACTTTTACTAGGCACAAAAGGCTTATGAAAATGGATTGAACGGTCGCACACCAAGGGGGTTTCGAAGGCAGGCATAGACCTAATGTTCACCTATCATTTTCGTCGAACGAAAAACAGACACACTAAAGATATTGCACAATCCCTTAGATATATAACTAAGGCCCCATTCGACCTGGTGCCACCCATAGGCTCACGGGGTGCTGAGAGAGTTAACGTTTCATATCACAAGGTCATATGACACATGAGAATGAGATGATTTTAGCTATTTTTCCCTTCGCATGATGTCACATAACTAAAAATGTTTGAGTTTTACAAGACAAAAACAAAAAATAAAAACACTTAACAATAAATCAAGATGGAACCGACGATTGTATTTTTTACCTGTTACATGTTGCCTATGATAAAACACTCAAACACACCGAAAAACAATGTAAAACAAGAATTGAAAATCGTCATGGACATATGTCGAACACCTTGATTGCATTGCTTCATGGCTGTTGAGTCATCGACTTTGATCCTCCCACTTTGTCGTAACTCCCCATTGAGTTGGTTCAGTTGGGGAAGTTGGTTGAGTCGGAACAGTTCTTGTTGAATCCCTAGGATCTGTTGGTCAGCAAGAGAAGGGTCTTTATGTTTATGTTTAAGCCCCGTTGAGGTGTTATCGTGCAAGAGCTTGACTGTTGCTGGTTGGAACTTTGCCAATGCTATATTGCAGAACTTAAAGACTCAATGGCCTTCTCCTGCGAAGATTGCCCCTTGCATCTTCAGAACCTTCATTATCTCCTTCAAGTAGGTTCGTGCTATCCTCGTTTCTAAGGTAACTCAATGGGAGGATAGTGCATGGACATGCTACCTTCGATGTAGCCGATCACTCAAAGGTGAAGAGTTGATGGTTATTAGCTTCTAAGCACTTTAAGGGGACTTTCAATTGATGCATAGCTCCACTACATAAGCGAGGAGAGTTGGGTTACTTTTGATTGGATTCACCCAAATTCCTTGGGTTGTTCTCCTTGCTTCGAGCTAGTTACTTGACTTCGCCCACTCTTCACCATCACACTTTTGGAGTGTCGGAAGTGTTGTTGGAGCACTTGTATGATAGATTTGCCTTTGGGATCGATTATGCCCTATTAGCAGTCAAAACTGTGCTCTTCCCTCTTGAGCACAAGTTTGGTTAGTGCTCGAAAGACCCATTGTTGCAGTACCATATGACCTTTAGTTTATGCTTTCTCGACTAAGTTCTTCTTGGGTAGTTGAGTCCCTTGTGGACTCGAGGTCGTCACAGTGTCTTGACTATGTGACTTGGGACACATTTCCTTTTTGATTTTTTATCCTTCAGACTAAAACTTTTCAGTGTGGTCACCAGCATTTGCTTGTTGAAGGTTCCTCCCAACTTTGATTCTTAGGTTGTTTGTTTGGCATTGACGATCGCTCGTCCGATCTTGCCCCTCGAAAGCACTGGGATACCCATAAGTGAAGATAAGTCCTGGAGCACTCCATCGTCCAACTACTTGTTCGAAAGGTTTTGAAGATTCTCCTACTTCATAAATGATGCCCGATGTGAATGGTAGATTGGATCTTCGACTCTTTTACTGAGTTTTTTTTGTAAAGGGTAAATGACGAAGGCGGGATTCGAGCCCTGGACCTTGTGATATACTGTCAAAGTCTTTACCAGCTAAGCTAGATGACACCTTTACTGAGTTTGAACTGCCATTCAAACTTGCACCCTCGTGGAAAGGGCTTTGGGAACCGAGTAGTTGACACACCGACATACTCTTCAAGAACTTCTGTCTCAATGGACCCTTGCCCTGCGCTGAGGCCTTCTGACTCTACTTGCATCGTTGTGGGATGAGTAGGGTCTTTTTGCCTCGATTCCTTTATCATTTGCATAGCTGAGGTTGTCGAGGTCTGGGGAGAGGGGAGCTATCATGGAAGAGGGGGCAATTGCAGAGGAGAAAAAGGGAGTGAACAATAAGAAGGAGAGGGGAAGAAGAGGGAGGAGGAATCAAGTAGTAGGAGGAGAGAGAGGGTGTTGTTGGTTGAGAAGGACATATCTAGGAGGAGGGAGGGGGACGATGACAAAGGAGAGGGAGGGGATAACGAGAGGGGAAGAGTGGAGGAAGAAGCAAAGAGAAGGAGAAGAGGGAGGAGGGATTGGGTAGGAAGAGGGAGAGGGGGTTGTCCGGGTCTGGGGAGGCATAGTGGGGAGGCCCAAGCGCTCGGTGGCTTAGGCATTTGCTTGGGTCGTGCCCAGTTAAAGGCGCCCACCCAGCCCACTATCGAGGCGCTTATGCCTTGCCTTGCCTCACCCGGGCGCTTGGTGTGCACCTAGTGACTTCCCTACATATAAAAACTCCACCATGAGAATGACTTGGAAATCGTCCAAGGGAAGTGCCATGAAGTTGGTTCTCTTGCTCCAATTTTCAATCTAGATGTTGACTCCCTTTGCAAATCCATAAATAGGTTTCGCCTTCGAATTAACTGCTTTCTTGCGTCTTGGACTCTTTGCCAGCTTCAATCCGAGTCACTTTGCTTCTTAGTTTATTATGAAGTGTGCGACTTTTGTGTCCATAGATGTGTGAGCCGCCTTCCTGTTTAGTTTAATGTTCACGAACATTAATAGGTTATGTGCCTTCATCTCCTTTGACTACTCCCCCACTTGACCTTGTAATGTATTTAGCAATTGCACCACCCTAATGTGAGATCATTGCGATGATCCTTCATCATTGCTCGATTCCGACAAATTCACGCTTGAAGGGTCACCTTCTTCTTTGGCCTTCACTCAAGCTTCTCCTTGACTTCACCTTGCAATGTGTTTTGCAAACACATATCTCCCATGTGAGGTCTTGGTGACAAGACGTTGCTTCTTGAACACGACTTGCTTCACCCGGGATATTTCGCCTTTGCTCTACCCTTCTCCTTTCATTGGAAAGAAGCCATAAGGGCATTTAATGCCTCTTTTTGCTGTGGGCATTACAACATTAGATGTTGTCTATCGCTCATAAAACATTTGTCGAACTTCGGGATGTTGCTTTTGGATTCGTGTCCCGTTGAAGCACTTTTCTTCTTCGGGTCATTCCATCTGGAAGCTTTTAGAGAGCCTTTCTTTGATGAGCACTTACTGCATTTCTTCCCAACGTATGCACCAGCACCACCATAGTCTTGCATGACCAATGAGATGCATCTCACTAACGACACCTTGAAATCTTCTGATCGGGGTTGGGTTGTCCTAAGTACTGAACCATATCAAAGAGAAGTTTTTTAACTCTTTGGCATCCGAACACCCCGTAGCTCTGCGGTTCAAGAACCTTTACTCTCGACGAGAGACGGCTGTAAGGCATTTGTTTGCTTGCATGCATAGCTTGCATGAGTACCGATATGATTAAGGTCATTAGAGTCGTATTAAGGTCATTCCTTCGCTCATTTCATATAATTAGAGGCGTATTAATGCATATTTACAATGACTAAACATGATTAAGGTCGTTATCTTGTGTTAGTCCCTAATTGAGGGTATTTGGGGTTAATTACAGTCTTAGCCATTTATTTATGGCTTATATACACTCTATTCTTAATTAAATATAATAAAATTATGATAAAAACCTATAAAAAGATTTTTGTAAATTTCCAATCATTTTTCATCTTTTTCTGAAAGATATGTACCAACATACTGACATATGGTACAGTAATATTGACCGGAACGTAACAGACCATGGGGTATGGTGGTCCTTGGTATAGTGATTACTTTTAAAACTATGGTGGATGTATATTTCTTGACATAGGTCTTCTAATAGATTTTATGGTTGTGGGCTATATGGAAGCACTAGGAAGCAAAAGCAAGACACAAAATGATTGCTTAATTTCAAGTAGATGTTACGTCTACCTTGCTTATGAGTCATATACAAACATTTTAATTGAGCATGCCCTTCATATTTATGTTCATCCTTGGGATGATACATTCAGTCTTTTAATTAACAATAACATTTGCATAGTTTGACTATAATAGTAAGTAATAAGAATGATTGACATTCTGATTTATGATTCTTACAAATTTATCATAGTTTTAGCCTTTTAGGCAAATCACGGAAATGGGTCCTAGCCCAGTTACTTGATACATGAACTGAATCTTGGTAAGCTCTTGGATCCTGGTATAGCTTGTTTCTCTCATCACAATAGATCAGTGTGCCACATGTTAGAAATTGTCATCACTGGTTAATATATTGAAACAGTCACTACTAACTAATTTTTGTTTAATGCTTATCGTTGAATTAGAGGAGAAGAAGGAGAGGAGGAGAAGGAGAGGAGGATGAGGATGGGAAGATGAGGGCTGTTGACAGTCAACAACCCTGCTGTCAAGGGCTGTTGATTGTCAATACTTGTTGATAGTTGTCATTAGCTCTCCACATTAAAAGAACTAACTTTTAATGGGACAGGGCAAAATTATTTGGTCTGGTTGCTGGCTCTTGATTGGATTGGTAAATACCCTTGGTGCACACCAGTCTGACCTTTTGTTAAATCTTGAGTTTTATGTAAAAACATGATGAAAATGCTAAGAACTTTATTAATAGCATGATGTGATTGTAAACTATATTTTTTATGTTTCTTGTTTCAAATTCTTTTGGCAATCACTTCCTTGTCTTATTGGGCTAGCCCGGCCCAAAGAGTAAGTCAAGCAGGGATTGGGCCTTTTAAGGTAGGCTAATCTGGGGTGTTGCCCAAATTTGCCCAAGTCGACTGTATTCTTTCCTGGGTAATGCTTGGCTTGATCCAGGTATTTTTTTTGCCACTTAGAGCCTCAATTGTTGCTTACAATATAACATTTCATAAAATTAGCGGATACAATGAGAGAAAGAAGTAACTTTGTAAAACTTTTTGAAGGCAAAGCAACAAAAACTCCAAGGTTTACACAAAATAAAAAGGAATGATAGAAGAAAAGAGAAAGAGAGAAGCTAAATAGTAACTACAAAAGAGAACTACATTATAAAGACAAACTCTGAAGGGACAAAGTAAGATCTTCAAAAGCACTAATTCCTGAAGCATGCATGGTCTACTTGTAACTGACAAACCAAATAACATTTTCTTGATAGTTTTCTAAGGTTCCTCAATAGGCCTTTACAAGATTTTATTGTTTTGCTCTTTTTAATGACATTTTAGCCATCAATAATGTAGGATGAGCATGGAGAACAGTGAATTTTTTTTTCTTATTATTTGTAGGATTGATAAAATTAAAAGAGAAAAAATGAGTGGAGAAAAGAGTACTCGAATTCACTTTGATTACTGAATGTCCACATCCATTGATCTTTGTCTCACATCAGATGCTCCTCATGCATGGATGATAGAAATTAATGTCAGGTTCGCTCTAGCTCTAGGAATCACTCCTAGTGGTGAAGACTTCACATCTCTTTGCATATAATGTTGTAATAGAAAATTACTTATTCACACCTCTTGATTATAGCCTTTTCCCCTTCATATGGATCCCCCAGTACAGGAAAAGAAAGAAGGCTAAAGAACTAATGAAGTACAATCATGAAAATCTTATTCCTTATGATAAGTCTAATGAGTCACCTACCTTTCTTTTTGTGGGTGAGATCTACTTCCAAATTTTTTGACATACAATCTTTCCCTTGTACAAAATATTCGATCATAATCAATTTCCATCTTTGCACATATTATCCATCAAAATCCTTTTGTTTTTGGTGACTTGTTTCATTTTAGTTTGGTCTCTTTTATTTCCCCTGAGCAATCTAGGCAGATAACTAGACACACATAATATGTTGCCATGTGGCAACTTATAACATTTGCAAGAATCCCCGTAAAGCTTTCCAAATACAAAATAGAACAAAATATCTCCTGCATCAGCACCGAATACTCTCATACAAAAAGCTCAAAATTAGTGACCATTAACGTACAAGGCAACAATGCTGTTTTTTAACTATTGACCCACACAAAATTGGTGATTTATTCATTGATTTGTTCAAATATATATTGCAATAGTGTTGATTGTATGAATTACTCTCTCTTTTTGTGTGTTCATGTTATGGTGGTTCGATGCATAGCAGAAGCTTCATACACTAGGCCACCTTAAGCATTTAATTTCACCTCTATAGATAAATCTCTTTGCTTCAAGCTGTATTCTTCTAATGGCATATGGCCATGCATTTGTTTCACTCATGATGTTTTCCCGTGACTGTCTGCATTTTTTAAATAATTTTATTACTTCTGGTGGTGTCATTTATTCCTTGCACAAGTGTTTCCTTCCTAGTTATGTTTTCATGACAAATAAAGAAGTCGGCTTGATGATGTTTCTTGCAGGATTTTGATCCAGTTAGGTATGTACTAGAAAATGTTCCATCTGAAGAAAGCGATTCTACATACTTTGATAAAAAGGTCAGATGACAGACTAAGTAGGCTTGATTTTCATATTTGTTATATGCCAAAGATATTTGTCAAGTTACTATTATACTTGCTGGTTAGTTCATGATGCCACTCACCATGTTAATCTTGCATTGCTCTTTGTGAATTTTTGTGTACTTCCGGTTTCTAGATTGGATCTCTCTCTATTATCTTTTGTTATATGTTTCTAGGCCAATACTGACAGCCCTGTAAGTTTCACAAATCTGTTTAGTTATGATAATATCATTATCTAAGCTCTACAGAAGTCACTGGATTCTGCTTTGCCATGCTCATTTTCATTTCTCTTATATTTTCTGAATGCATTTCCTTTCAGTATGTGTTTCCTAGCACAAAGTGTTCGTCAATTTTGTTTTGTGAACATTTTTATGACTGCTTTCCTGACTGGAGCTCACTTTTTTCTCTTGCCAACACCACAGTCCACTCTTAGATTGGCACAACTTGATAAGATAGCAGAGCGATTATCACGTCATGTGATGGAGCACCATGAAGAGATGGGTATGTTTCTTATCTGTAAATTAGGATAAAAAAGTATGCTGGTCTTTGCTTGAACTTATATATGTATTTAAGGAAATTTGCCAGATATTTTAAAATGGTGCTTTTTATTATACTTGTCTGAAATATATAATATTTAAGGGTACTGTCTGTCATAAGAGACTGTCCAATTTTGTTTATATTGTTTGATTATCTTTTGATTTGTCCATTTGATTTCTTAACTGTGATAAATTCTTTTATTTTCATAGAAATAAATATCCGAAGCAAAATTTCACAATTACTGATATGAATAATAATCTATATTGTACAGTTGAAATTCTTTCTGGAAAATTAATGATGGGTATCTTTAATACTGGGCCAGGATATTGGCAGTCGTATTACTTATTAGGCAGCTACATTGGCTTTTGTGTTCATCGGAATCATTTCAGAATCAGGTTTAGATTACATCTTGTACGAGAGTTCTATTTATAGATATAACACTAAAACCTAAAGTTGAATTTCATATTTGCAGAACCAAACAACTACGATCTTTGAGGATTCCTCTGATAGAAACTTCCTCTTGTGAAACCAAACAATTCTTTTCTCAAGCAATGCAATGTAAAAGTTGATAGGTATTGCAAACAATGTCCAACGGACAAGCTTTGACATGTCCCTTGGATCCATTGGAACACATATGGGGAATAATAATTTTACAATGAACTTGTGCAGAACAGGGAATTCAATTTCGAGTAGTGGACTGATACCAGTCCATGGCTGGACCAATACATGGTACCCTGGTCTGTTTGCCGGTTGAAGGTGGAGAGGGTCCCCAACAGCACGTGGGAGGGGGATAGGACGAGGAAGGGGGAAAGAGGAAGAAGGAAGAAGGAGAGGAGGCAGAAGAGATGGAGGAGAAGAAGGAAAGGAGGAGGAGGAAGGGGGAAAGAGAAAGAAAGGAGGAGAGGAGGCAAAGGAGGAGATGGAGGAGGAGAAGAGAGAGAAGGGATGGGCGAGGAGGAGGAGAAGATGTGTCAGGTAATGGCGGGTGGCAGTGGGTGAGGGGTGGTGTAGCAAGCGGCCCTTGAGTGTGATGCATGAGAAGAGGTTTTTTGTCATCTGCCATAAATGCAAGGTCTTCAAAAGGAAAAATGGACTGAAACATCTGTAAAGGGGTGGTGCACATATGGTTCATGCCCAGACAGGTGGGTACCAGTCATTATGAACTGGTCTGAGCGGTATTGAGTCCATTGGTGCCAAAGATAATTGATGATATTTTGAAAAAAAAGAATTTAACATATTTCTTCAAAAGATAAACTGATCCTGAGCACATGGCTAACAAGCAACAGTAACAATGAGCCTTTTTCTAATAAAATACAGAGCCACTCAACTGAATGTCTTTGTCTTTGTAGTGAGCTTTCTTTATAAAGTTCAAAGGATATGTGATGTATTGCATTGTAGCCACACTATAATTTGAATAAATAAGCTTATTTCCTTTTAGGTCTTATGGTGGACACATGCATTAGAACCAAGGGTTAAATCTTGATTTGATACTGGTACTCTAGTTGGATTGGTATAGCATCGTTACCATATAGGATGCCAAATGTCGATACGGATCGAACTACAAGCAGACAAAGAGAGAGCTATGCATTGGGTGGAGGCATCGATGGTAGGGAGAAGGTGGCTACAATGGGAAGGAGGTAGCAATGCAGACGAGAAGCAACAACACTGTTGAGAAAGAGAAGAACAAGGATGCAGAGGCAGATGCACATGCAGAGGGTGAGGAGGAGGAGGATGAGAAAACGGAGTAATACGAGGGGAAGTAAGAAGGAGGATAAGCCTCCTTCACTTCTCTTCTTCTCTGCTGCTGCCTTTCCTCCTCTTTTCCTCCTTCGCCGCCACATCTTTTTCCTCCTCATCATCTCCTCCCCCTTTCCTCCCCTCCTACCTTCTCTATACTGTGGTACTGTTCTGGCATACTGTGTCTCGGTACGCTAGAATGGGCTAGACCCATTTCACTCCAGTCAACGACCGTCATGGGTTCAGTTCTCTAAATTGAAAACCTTTCTTGGTACATCTTGGTACCAGTTACTTTACTGGATGATACGCATGATAAGGTAATCTTATGAGGCAAACGACATATATCGAATTGGACCAGGTGAAATTGCCTAGTCTGCATGCTGGTTGACCATTAGACCGGTAAATAGTGGTCCATACTGATATTTACAATCAGTTTTTAAAATTCTTGGTTTCCTTCAACATACACCACAAACCATACTTTTCTATTAGTTACATGAAATATTGCAAGCACATTATTGACCCCCTGATCATGAAAGTTGTTTTGTTATGCCCTCACAAAACAAGGGACATTGGGTTTTTTAAATAATATTTTCATAATCAAGGAATGCTTTGCATATAGATGCTTTGGTATTTCCAAATTTGCATTTATGTCCTGAGAATGCTGTCAATGTGACTACAGAAGTAGCTTGCATATGCAATATAGGCAAGTTGGGTGACTGAATACAAAGCCTCTGTACTTCGAGTCAAGCGTTAACTTAACATGCGTGTATATCTTGGTCTGAAGATCCCTCTTTTCTTTTTCTTACCAAATATTTCAATTAGTAACAAGAAGGATCATTCTAACCTCATCAGGTGTCGTTGTGCACACTGATTCCACAGACTTGCGGCACATGTCCTGTGCAAACATACGTTGTAACTCAAAACCTGGTTTAAGGTATATTCACAATTTTATACTGGTATGTCAATCTGTTTGTTTTAAGTAACTCTTCTTTAATAGCTAGCCAGATGGAGTTGGCATAGATGTGATGGATAAGAAGGTGACTTGATGCTATGGAAGCTACATTGTCTAGACTGTAGTTCTGGAATTTTTTCCAAACTTCATAAGAAATGTCATTGTGAAGTCTATAATTGATCACTGACCACAAGATACCTAAGTTCTATCATCATGGCTCTAGCAAAAGAGTGAGATGGTGTTCTCAAAAGGATCAAGGTAATGTTGAAGATTCCATGGTCATTTATATCTTTGGACCTTTGTCACGAGATTGATGACCTTGGTTTTTGTTGAAAGTTATTAAAAAAAAAGAAGATTCTTGGTCCTTCGGAAAATTTCTAAGATATAATTAAATGGAGAAAAGTTGTGTTGTCCCTGAGACTGATTTCTTTGGAGTTTTTACAATCAGTACTTCCTTATGAGTGATCACATGCAGATGGAAAATGACTTGGATATCTTTAGGGGTGTTTTAAAATCGACTACTACCTTCCAACACATTTTCATTTTGAAAAGCTTCTTCATGGAGTAGATATGGTCTAAACGAAACCACATTTTTTATTTCTTACAGAGACTTCTTTAAAATTAGGCACTTGTTCTATGTAATTCCGTGTAGTGCCATTCTATATTCTGGAGCCTTTCTACCATCATTTATTAAGAAGTTCATGACTGAAGTTTACAGGGTTCAAGCTTTTAGACCTCCAAATTCCTTGGTCTCACAAATTCAGTGTTAAGTAAAGCCTAAAGTTTTTTGAGGCTCAATTTGTTCCTAGGAAAAGTAGAGAGGGCAGTGCAGAAAACTGTCAAGGAATTTTCTTATTTCATGATTTCGCACAAATCACCATGCTCTTTTGGAAGTGAATAATAACTCAAGCAGCACCTAAAAAAATGAAGAGTTATTCAATAGGCGCTCGGGCGCTCGCCTAGGCGCTCGAGCGAGGCAAGGCGAGGCCCGAGCGCCTCGCTTCATGTCCAAGCGCCTCGCTTCAACAAGGCACCGCCTAGGCGCTCGCCCGAGCCCAGGCGTCGGGCGCTTCGGGCGAGCGCCCGGGTTAAACTAGGCGACCGAACTAGTGTTTTACGTCTGGTTCGGTCTCCGGTGCTTTAGTTGGATCAATCGAACCAACTAAATCACCGATAGGCTCCCTCTCACGATTTCCCCGACTTCCCCAACCCTAACACTCGCGATTTTGCCGTCGAGATTTCTTCTCCGTTGTCGTTGCTCTCTGCTGCCGCTGTCGCTGCCATTGTCGCTACTCGCCGCTGCCACAATCGTCGCTCATCGCTGTTGTCGTCGCTCGCCGCTCGCAGCTCCCACTCCCACTCCCACTGCTGCTCGCAGCTCCCGCTCTCGCTCCCACTCCCACTATCGCTAGCCGCTCCCGCTCCCGCTACCACTGTCGTTGCCTTAGCAGCCTCGGTCTTCTCACACTCTTCTCACTATACTGTTAACAGTATATTAACAGTATACTGCTAACTGTATACTAATAATAGTATTTTTATTTATTAGATTAATAATATATTATTTTAATTTTAATATTATTAATTTTTATTTATTTAAAATTATTGTTAGGTTTTAAAATAAATGGCAAGTGTATAGAGCAACTCAAAAGATTTGATGTAAAATTTTATTGTTTTGATTTTTGAGACTTTTTATTAATATGACATTGTGATTTTGTACTCGATTTTCTTAATTTAATAACATATTTTTTATTTAAATAATTATATTAATTATATTATATATTTTTATATTTTAGCGCCTCGCTTTGCTCGGGCGAGCGCCTAGCGCCTCGAGCATTTTTGGACTCTGGTGTCTTTTGGCGCCTAGCGCTTTTTAAATCACTGTTCTCAATTGTGTTTTCAATCTTTGCGCTTCTTTTTAATTATTGGTTGAAACATAACTGTGACCTATATCATGCTTTCAATTGTTGTCATTCTTTTCATTTGTTATTGGGTATTGGCTTAGAATGATAATTATTTCACCATAACATAGTATTGCTGTTCAAGTTTGAACTTTTTGATGCTTCTTTGGTCAGTGAAGGGGATGCAATTAGTGATGGAGCTGGAGCAAGATTTAAAAGTGGCAAATGTCATCTGCATGGTAACTTTATAAATTAAACAAATTGTTACTTCTTTCAGTAGCTTTTTCACTGTTTTGATCCTCTAAAATATTAATCATCATGATTACCTGATTGCTCAATCTTACAGAATGGGCGAAGGCACTTGACCTCATCAATAAATGAAGTCTCAAGGGATCTTGTAGTCAATAAAAAGTCAAGAAAGAAACAAGCTTTACTGGTATCTGATCTCAGCATAAGTTGCTCCTCCTACAAACTTTTGTTGGCATAGTTGTCGCTCACTAACAAAGACATACTATTTTTTTGTTTTGCTTGGAACTTTTGGCTTATTTGAATTGTATTCCATTTTTATATTATTTTCCACAAGAACTATTTGGATCATTTGGCATCACAAGTTTTAGTTTTAATTTACATTTGTGGCATCTGTTATTAACCAACTTCCATGGATATGGAGGAAAATAGGAAAAAATGAAAAAAAAAACCAAGAATTTTTCTTGTTCTGTGGAAAAACTTCAGTTAAAAGAGAGGAAAATCATATTAAGAAATCATTCACTGCTTTCTATTCTCTGATGAGTTGTAAAGGACTTGGATGAGTGAGGTTGGAAATTCAACAATCTTTCTCATAGCTTCAGGCTTGGGTTCAGGAAGGAGGACTTGGGGCTTGAGATTGTAGAGGGTGCAAACATATAAATGGGATGTAATAAGCTACTTTGTTTATTTATCATGCATCTGTTTCCATTTCTTTGAAAAGCAGGAAAAGTTAGCACATATGGTATCTGTGGTTTGGGCATTGATATCCATAAGAGAAGTTATACCACCAACTGATACAGCTTGAAACTTTAATCCTTGGATACAAGTATCAATTGTTTGAAATTCTCCTACCCTTGAACAAAATCAAAACTGATAATTTCCGTGATATGTTTGTTGAGCTTGTTGATAAAGCTTCACCATCATGATTAGAGCTACAGTCCTAGAAGATGTAATTTCTTTTTGTTGCTGATCACATCTCCTATCTTGATTTTAATTGATTTTTATAATTGATTTTAGCTGATTTTTATAATTGATTTTAGAATATTTTTATAATTGATTTTACTGGTCACATCTGTTTCATGATATGTTTAGTTGATTTTTATAATTGATTTTAGTATGTTGGAAACTATGTATGTTGGACTTCTTAAGGCTAGTTTTAGAATCTTTGCATTCCAATTATCTATCGGTATTTCCACCATACATAACTCCCCTAATTCTTCAAAGCATGCCTCAAGTCACATTTTTCTTTAGAAATTTTCTAATTATATCTTATGCACTTTAAAGTTAGATGAGCATAAGTCATTGCAAGGTTTGCAATTTTGTATACCAGGATTGTACTGGTCATGGCTCGAACAGGTCCCTTATTGATGCCTGTGCACTAAGTGTCGGTACATTGGGATATACCAAGTTCCCGAAAAAGTTAAAAAAAAAAAAACTCACCTGCACCTTTTTTCTACTGGGCATACCCTCTGGATTATCTTGGTCCGAGTATCTATCAGACTGTTAAGTTTCACCCATAATGTTCTGTACAGGATGGTATTGCAAACCTTGACTGATTGTAACTTGGGGAAGAAACATTCCTTGCTGGTCATGTAACCTATATTCTTATTGTGTGTCATTTTAAGATACTGTTTGTTGGCCAACCATTTTTTTTTCTGTTCAAATCTGTTGCTATTTATCCATTGGATCCTTACAAGCTATACATTATGTTGGTGGATCAACACATCAAAATGTTTTCTTTTGTTGTGGTGTAAGTTCTGACTGTGGACCACACAACCAAGTGGAGTAGTCAATTGCCTGATGCTCAAATGGAGATATGGCCATGCAAGTCCTCTCTGATTTCATTTATCTGCCTACTGGTCATGCCAAAAAAATATCTGTCTTTAAGTCAAAACTGATGACCCTCACTGGCAGTGCCTGGGTCTCAAACGAGTGTGTCATGTGCCCATTTGTAGATATGCTTGGAGTTATTCTCAGATTTAATTTTTAGTCTGTTTCAGTGTCTGAAATTATGCTACTTTGTAAAGAAAATGTTGCTGTATTCTCCCTTGACATTTCTCTCTTTTTTGTCTAAATAGAGTAGCCAATGAAAATTGTTTATCCATTTAGTTTAACCAAATACATTAAAATAATCTTTTGAGAACTGGTATTCTGATCAATTTTAGATAAAGTTTCAGTTTGCTTAACATTGTGTGTATAACTAAGCAATCCTTGGTTTCGTACATGTGGCAGGACATGCTTCCAATTCTTACAGAACTTCGTCATTCATTAGACATCCAAATGGAGCTTGAGACTCTTGTTGAAAATGGAAAATACTGCCAGGTTGTTTGGAAAATCCATGTTTTCCACTGTGGTACTTTTGGTGGGCTTTTTCTAATTCTGGCCAATGTCCTGTTACAGGCGTTTCAGTTGTTACCGGAGTATTTGCAAGTTTTAGATAATTATGCACAGCTTTCTGTTATTCAAGAGATGGGTCGTGGAATAGAGGTCAGTTTTCTTCAGCAAGAAGCTTATAAACAAATTCCTCATTTGACTTGTTGGATAAACTGTTTTGCCAGTTCTTTTTCTTTTGGGATAGGGGCTCAAAAGAATTCAATGCTTGGTCAATGTGAAGAAGAATTGATTAATTCATTTCACTGACATGAAAGAAGAATCTGGGTGGTAGTAACAAACATGGAATTGGCTTTTCTGAATAGTACAGATTTAAAATTTTGCAACAAAAGAAATTCTTTGGTAACTTATGAAAATAAGTCATGACAAACGATAAGTTTGAGAAGCACTTCCCTTGGTCTTTCAGCATAGTGATTAAACATCTACTAACTAAAGGGAGGATGTTAAGAACATTAGATATTTATTTGGAAGCAGACATGTAACATCAAAGTACCACCATACTGCCATGGTAGATCCTTTTGCGATGTCAGAAATTGGAGTCAACTTCCTTTGTGGATAGAGACTTCACATTTGTGATTTCGTAACAAGCTAATAAGTATTATGTATGCTTAGGAGTAGGAAGCCAAAAAAGATTGCAAGAGATGATCTGGTTAATTATGTTTACCCTTTCATATTTTAAAATCAATTGATATTTTGGAAACATTAACAGTACAGCTTTACAGAACATGGTCTCCTTTTTAGTCTCAAATTCTGGTAGTAATGGAGTTCTACTTCTATAAGAACTTGTTACTTCTTTTTATTGATGTTGTGCTAATTTGGCATATCAATCCTACCATTTCTGCAGGCCTGGCTAGCAAGGACAATTCAAAAGCTAGATTCACATTTACTAGGTGTTTGCAAGACATTTGAGGAGGAAAGCTACATAGTTGTTAGTATCCTCATCTGTTGATAGCAAAGTTCATCATTTTTTTGTTTAATTGCTACTTTGGGATTTTTTTATTCCAGCAGCTCAGCTATGTATCTTTGCATTTGCTACAAGTTCTTTTACAGATTATCCCTTGTAAAACAAGAAAATACAAGTAACACTTGTAACACTGGTATCATCATTTAGTCATATATCCTACTTTTGAACATCAGTTACTCTTTTCTGTTAGAAGAATTATATTACATGTGACTTTCTAACCAAACCTAAGTACACTGTTTCTTTAATTATTTATGTTGCTCCATGTTGTAGCAACATAGTGAATTGGCATATATAAGCAGCAATAAAATGTTAGAGAGAAAATTGTTTCAGAAAATAAAAAAATTGAGAGAATAATTAGAATTATATATATATACACACAACCCTGCTACATCAGATATGTACAATCCAGCCAACTATATATATATGTATATATATGCTGACCTTGATGCTTTACCATAACTTCACATTATTAATAATTGACATCTTTGCTAGTTTCTATATGTTGTTGCAAGCCATTTTCGTGCCCCATAATGCATCAATAATTATCTTTCTTTCTCTTCTTACTCTAGCAATGGTCATGATCTATAATTGTCAAAAGCTTAAATCCTTTTGTTATTAGTGATGTTGAGTTTTCTGCATGAACTTGTGCTAGATTCCTTTTTGACTTTTTATACTTACCAAAGAAAAGTCTCCTTTTGGTGGTCTTATAGTATCACAACTATTTTACTTGTATTTATCTCAAATTTATGGCCTACCAAGTGGGTTTTTGTTTGTTTGTTTAGGCTTTATTTGGTTTTCCACAAATCCTAAGAGTTTAATATTCTGTAGGCAATTGATGCCTATGCCTTGATGGGAGATGTCACTGGTCTTGCTGAGAAAATTCAGAGTTTCTTTATGCAAGAAGTTCTATCTCAAACACATTCTGTGTTGAAAGCTATGGTGTATGAGGTAATCTAGTTTCAATTTATCATGTTTTCCAAGCCTTTCTTTCCACTTTGGTTATTGAACTATAATATATCTTTGTATATATTACATGACAGAAGCAATCCATATTTTTCAATGTTGTAATTTCAATAAACATTTGACTCATTATATCAAATGCAGATAAGTGTAGTCCTAGACTCCTAATTATGTAAAATTCAATATCTTGCTTTTCTAGGATATACAAAATTACAAATACTAATATTTTCTGTGTTATTGCATGATTAATGCTCTCTGGAGCTTGCTGCTGGCAACAGTTTTTTATGCATTTTGCTTTTTCTTTAAATTATTTATACATAAAATGCTTTTGAATACTTTTGATTGTCTTTCCTATTTCTTACATTTATAGAGAACTAAAATTTTCTGTTAAGTCATCAAGTGACATTAACATTCATAAATGGCTTGTAATCTTTTGCCATTTTAACAGTTTCTTGGGCACCCAACATTTGATCATATAAAGAAATGCTACAATTCTAGGAAATAATTTCTCTTTTTATCATCATTCTATATGCTCTATGATTAATTTGGTGGTTTGAATATATTCTTAATTTTGAGAATTTAAATCTCAGTCAGATACTGGTTTCAGTGATCAACCATATTGATATGGTACCAGTATATCATGTAGTATATTGATTTGTACCACTCAGTTTCACCTAAAAAATAAGAAAAAATAATGCCAATCGGTATAAGTGTATAACCATTTCTGGTTCTTGGTTGGGCCAGCATGTGGCAATTGGTGTGCACCATATCATTTGATATTTGAAACATGCTTAATTATATTTCTGTTTTTTTGTATAATTAATGTGTGTCGTAGCTTTATCATAAGATCTCTAGTGATTTAGCTTGAGTAATATGAGGATCTTTTCACGTATTTTCAAACATTAGGTATCCCTTCCACATTATTGAAAATTTTCAGATGAAGGATTAGCTTATAGAGACTAAAAGTCTGCTTGCTTTGTGTAAAAGTTTGCATCATCAAATTTGCAAATTCTGCTTGTACAACTATAGAGAAATCTTGTTGTATTCCCTGGTTTGGAAGTCTATAGAGGATGATAGTAGATGGTAAATGATTTAGGTTTTTGTTTATTGCATTGTTTCTCCATAACAGATGTGTTAATCCAATATGTGAAAATAATGAAGGACTAAAACTTAATATATTGTGTTTGTTCACCTGATGCTCAATGGTCACAAGATAGGTAATTCTAAATTCATGAATTGGTATATTTAACTTCTCATGTGTTAAATTAAAATTTGGTGTGTTTATCCTCCATTTGAAGCAGGGACTAAGACCATTGAGGATACAAACAGTGGCATGGTGAAAGATGATTCTGGACCTGGTTAATGTCCCACATCTGATCTTAGAATTCTAGGCATGGTAACTTGCTGATAATGTTAAGAACTGAGTGGGTGTACTTCCATATGGTACCACCTGTCTACCATGTGGTATTTGATGAGTAAATTACTTAGGTTATGAGGATTGTTGTTCTACTGGCTGGCCAAGGGTAACTACACTTAGAATATCAACTTGTTACAAAGCATGTTAGCTGACATAGATGAACCCATGTGGTGGTCGATATCATTTGTCTTGGCCCAAGTGACATACTAGCTTTATAGCTTGTATGGAGGAAGTGTGTCCATGGCTCCAAAATGCTACAACTTTATCAGTAGGTAGATAAATTTAAGTCATATATACTGTCCATATGTTCATTATATGCTATGTGAATTAGCGAGGTTATAGTTCGGGCAAATACAGCTATGGTGTACGGTTCCACAACAAGAGATATATTCTTGTCTCAAAAATCTTAAACTCGCTCATTAACATGCTACTCTACACTAATGGTGAAACATTTTTTGTTATTTTTTTAGAATTTTCAAAGTTGTAACTATTTAGTCTATTCTTTTATGAAAATGATTTTTAAGTCTAATAGTCTATTCTTTTATGAAAATGGTTTTTTAAGTCTAACCTACATTATAAATCTTAAAGTGGCATATCACATGACTAACACTTGCTATATTTGAAAGGGTATTCTTTAGTTGTTAGTATCAGCAACTGTGATTTTTTTGCGCATCTTGTTTCTATACCCTTTTAGTTGTTAGTTTCGGCAACTGTGAATTTTTTGCACTCACTATCTTGTTTCTTACTTACTGTCGGCTTAATTAAGGAGTATTGGTTATCTATATCTTTCTCTGGTGTTAGTTCACCGTCTTGTTTTTCCCTGTTGGATTAGTTGGTAGCCCAAACATTTTCCATTTTCAAGATCATTTTCCTTTCCATCACCAGTTGCTAATTAGCTTCTATCACATGGCAGGAAATTGGAAATCTTACACAGACGAGTAGGTGCGTCTTTTGGGCTTAAATTTCTTTTTCTTTTTGTTGCATAATATCATTCCTGATGGACATCAAGGAACGACTACTCCCATAATGTCCATCTGTTTTTGAGTTCTGCATCTATATGGTGTTTATTCTTGGTGGTCTTTAAGATATTGAAAGCATAAAGACTGGAACCTTCTTGCTTTATCAGTGTTGGACTGGTACTTTGTGCCTGTTAATTCCTTGTCAAAAGTAATCACTATGCACAAATACATTGTAGTTACAAGTGATAATGGAGATAATACTGCAGTCTTTTACTTATTGAGTTGTTGGTGCATATAAGGTATCAGATTTAGCATTATCCTCTGCAAAGCCATGATGTCACTGTCTACTTTCTTGTTACTTGTATATGCTGCATTAAATTTCTGTCTCTCGCTCTTTTGTTTTTGTGATTATTACAAAGTGGGGAAAGCTAGATTTTGGTATCCAGTGAGGATTGTATGAGAAGGTGGTCAATAGATGTACCGAGTAAAACTGAATGTAAACTCTCTAGATGTCTTGTAGAGCAAAATTTGGATTTAATCCATAATTCTAGTTTCTGCATACATTCTTTGCAAAACAAATTATTATATGAAAGCACCAATGTTTCTTAAATATTCCTGCATTCATTCTAATTTATTGTGATGTATACTGAAATTTACTTGATACCATATTGTGGCCCTCAAGCTTCAAACAGCAATTCTGTCTTACTATGTATATTTACTAAATCTATTCAATGGGTTTGACCAGTTATACAAGATATACTTTATTGAATGAATGAAATGGCAAGATCAGCTTATTAGAGTTGTGCCACACTTAGTTCTTTTTTATAATTCAAGGTTTTGTTTTCCATTATTTCATGCCAAGCTGAGCTTTATTATTCAAGCCAAGGTTTAAAATTTTGGTTTAATATTGACTTTGACTCCTTTTCATATTGGTATTACTGAAAAAGATAACAAATTTGGTATTGTCCTTGGTTCAAAGTGTTCTGATATTTCATGGACTGCCATCGTGCGTTTGCGTTCATTGCTTATGTTTGCTTGTACAACTATTTGACACCATATATTGTCTAGTTTTGTGTGTTTTTCCTAGCTTTTGTAAGCCCAGATAGTCTTGTAGGTTGCACCGCGATTGCTTGTCAAACATAGTAGATTGGGCCAAAACAATCCCCTTTTTGTGTGTCATGTCCTAATTTTTTCAAGCTGGCAAGACGGAAACATCAGCCATCTCAGCATATTAGAACCCTCAGGTGACAAAGAGCTGGATGGGGCTCTATGATAGTGTTGGGCCCAGTTTTGGATTCACAAGCTTGTACACAAAATGAGCGTAGGCTTGTTGAACACCTTGACACCCGGTTGAGCAATTGTTTGTGGATTTGCTGCTATCTTTTTCCTTTCTAAAGTCTTTGTTTTCTCCCTGCACCTTGTATTCCAACTGTTTGTTGAATTACTCAAGTATCAAGTGAGACATCGGGACTTATTCGTCGCTCATCTTTGAAATTAATCAACCTTTTTTTTTTCCATGTCTTTTGACACCTGTGCGAGGTTGCACTTTAGTTGACCCTTTACGGACAGATATCACAAGGGTACCTATGACTTAGGCAATTCCAACTAAGTCTATGATGTCTGGTAACAGAGCAAACAATTTGAGGAAATAATGAAGTTCATGCACTAGCCATGACGAAGTACCATAGCGAATCAAGGTTGCATAAGGGGGGCAACAGCCCTAAATGATTATAATTGTTAGATTTGCTCTTTGCTCTTAAACTATTGAAGCCACTCAAGAGGAGCTTGGTAGTTAGAATGGTGAGCACGATAATTGTTAGAACGACAAGCAAGAAGTTGGTCACTTAAGAGGAGCATGGTAGCAAGGTTTGCAATTTCGTACCGTAACGGAGTTTCGACGTTAGCTCGGTACGATACTGTATACCGAGCGGTATACCGTTCATATATATATATATATAAATTCGGCGACGT